GAGCAACTTCTTCATGAACATATCTCCACGGGCAAGGGAAACAAAAGCAAAAATGAACAAGTGGGACTATATCAAGCTGAAAAGCTTCTGTACAGCAAAGGACACCATCAGTAGAGCAAAAAGGCATCCTACAGTATGGGAGAATATATTCAGAAATGACAGATCCGATAAAGGCTTGACATCCAAAATATATAAAGAGCTCATGCACCTCAACAAACAAAAAGCAAATAATCCAATTAAAAAATGGGCAGAGGAGCTGAACAGACAGTTCTCCAAAGAAGAAATCCAGATGGCCAGCAGGCACATGAAAAGATGCTCCACATTGCTAGTCATCAGAGAAATGCAAATTAAAACCACAATGAGATATCACCTCACACCAGTAAGGATGGCTACCATCCAAAAGACAAACAACGACAAATGCTGGCAAGGTTGTGGAGAATGGTTCTGACAAGAACACTGCTTGTAGGAATGTAAATTAGTTCAACCATTGTGGAAAGCAGTATAGAGGTTCCTCAAAATGATCAAAATAGACATACCATTTGACCCAGGAATTCCACTTCTAGGAATTTACCCTAAGAATGCAGCAGCCCAGTTTGAAAAAGACATATGCACCCCTATGTTTATTGCAGCACTATTTACAATAGCCAAGAAATGGAAGCAACCTAAGTGTCTATTAGTAGATGAATGGATAAAGAAGACGTGGTATATATACACAATGAAATATTATACAGCCATAAGAAGAAAACAAATCCTACCATTTGCAACAACATGGAATGGAGCTAGAGGATATTATGCTCAGTGAAATAAGCCAGGTGGAGACAGACAAATACCAAATGATTTCACTCTTATGTGGAGTATAAGAACAAAGATAAACTGAAGAATAAAACAGTAGCAGAATCACAGATCCCAAGAATGGACTAGCAGTTACCAAAGGGAAAGGAACTGGGGAGAATGGGAGGGAAGGGAGGGATAAGGGCTGTGAAAAATAAAGGGGGCCTTATGATTAGCATGTATAGTGTGTGTGGGGGGGAATGGGGGAGGGCTTTGCAACACAGAGAAGACAAGTGGTAATTCTACAACATCTTACTATGCTGATGGACAGTGACTGTAATGGGGTTTGTCCGGGGGACTTGGTGAAGGGGGGAGCCTAGTAAACATAATGTTCTACATGTAATTGTAGATTAATGCTCACAACAAAAAAAAAACCGTCAAGTATTACTAACAAAGTTTTGTTTAATCAATTGAATTTCCTTCCTGCATTCATTTATTCAACAAACATTTACTGAGCCATGTACTGCACCAGCCAACTTAACCACTATAATGAGGAAAAACACAATAATACAAGGAGTAACAAATTATAGAGTGTACTGGCAGTTAGGTGCCCAGTGTTAACAAAAAAACAATTCAAGGAAAGGAGAAAGGAAGTGTATATAATGTAAACGGATTTGCACTTTCAAATAATTAAGTCAAATAGTCACAGACAATCTAATTGAGAGGGTTACCTTTGCACAAAGATTTAAAGGAGGTAAAGATGCCACTTGGGAGTAGGCATTCCTAGCAATGAACAGCATGCCTGCCATGTTGAAAGAACAGTAAGAAGTCCAGTGCAGCAGGAGAACTGTGAACAAAGAGAAGGGGAGATGAAAAGGGAGGATGGGAAAGAAAGCCTCAAAATAGAGGCTTGAAAACCCAGGACTCTGGCTTTAAACTCTGGGTAAAAGTCAGAGTTTCATTTTCACAGCACAAAAAAGATGAGACAGAATAGCACAGGTCAATTCAATATCACTGATCAAATACCCACTAAGACAGCAAAGCACTGAGGAATAAAAAAGAAAAACATTAGTCTCTAAAGAATTATTCAGGAAATGGGACTACATCATGCTAAAAAGCTTCTGTACAGCACAGGACACTATCAGCAGAACAAAAGGGCATCCTACAGTACTGGAGAATATATTTGTAAATGAAATATCTGACAAGGGGTTAACATCCAAAATACATAAAGAACTTATATACCTCAATACCCAAAAAGCAAATAACCCTATTAAAAAATGGGTGGAGTATATGAACAGACAATTCTCCAAAGAAGAAATTCAGATGGTCAACAGGCACATGAAAAGATGCTTCACATCGCTAATTATCAGGGAAAAGCAAATTAAAACCACAATGAGATATCACTCACCTCACACCAGTTAGGATGGTCAACGTAGAAAAGAATAGGAATAACAAATTCTGGCGAGGATGTGGAGAAAGGGGAACCCTCCTACACTGCTGGTGGGAATGTAAACTAGTTCAACCATTGTGGAAAGCAATATGGTGGTTCCTGAAAAACTAAAAATAGAAATACCATTTGACCCAGGAATTCCACTTCTAGGAATTTAACCAAAGAACACAAGTTCTTAGATCCAAACAGACATATGCACCCTCATGTTTATTGCAGCACTGTTTACAATAGCCAAGCTACAGAAGCAACCTAAGTGTCAATCAGTAGATGAATGGATAAAGAAGATGTGGTACATTTACACAATGGAGTATTGTTCAGCCATAAGAAGAAAACAAATCCTACCATTTGCAACAGCATGGACGGAGCTAGAGGGTATTATGCTCAGTGAAATGAGCCTGGTGAAGAAAGACAAGTACCAATGATTTCACTCATCTATAGAGCATAAGAACAAAGCAAAAACTGAAGGAACTAAAACAGCATCAGACTCACAGAACCCAGGAATGGACTAACAGTTGCCAAAGAGAAAGGAACTGGGGGCAGGGGAAGGGAGGGAAGAGGGGAATAAGGGGCATTATGATTAGCACACATAACGTAGTGGGGGAGCATGGGGAAGGCAGTATAGCACAGAGAAGATAAGTAGTGATTCTATAGCATCTTACTAAGCTGATTGACAGTGACTGTAATGGGGTATGTGGTGGGGACTTGATAATGGGAGGAATCCAGTAACCACAATGTTGCTCATGTAATTGTATATTAATGATACCAAAATAAAAAATAAATTAAAAAAGAAAGAATTAGTCAGGAGACTTTGTTTCCAGTCCACATACTGGCTCATCACTTGTTGGCTCTTTTGTCTTAGATAAATCCTTGTCATCTCTGACTCATAGCTTCCTCATCTATAATATAGAGTAACAATAATAGCTCTGCTTAACATAGTTGAAATGTTTCAAGAGTTAGAAAAGACTTTCTTAATGATAGTTGTCTTTTTATTTTAACTCTATGGGTTGTAATCTCCCTGAAAGTGAGCTAAATGATCCCAAAGCCTCTCATATAAACTAAGTTTTTAATGAATGTAGTCATGATTTTACAACATTAAGAGAGTACTGTATTGGTATATTTTTAATAGAGATCCTTCTGAAATGATACTCTTTCAATAATCATTTACTAGACATCAGGTTTGCACCATGAACCATGCTAAGGTATATGAAATAATCCCTAGCCTTAATGAGTTTACTGTGGTGGGGAACATAGACACAAATAGGTAATTTAAACATATTGTATCTTCCATTCCTACAAGATATCAAACTAGCATGTGCTCCTGGTTCCCTCCCTCCAACCTAACTCTGGAGGTTATACAAAAGTAACAGGTAAGTCTTCCAGCAAACAAACAAACAAACAAACAAACAAACAAAAATAGCGAGAAACCTTCAGGAATCCAAAAGTAACTGGCTTCCAGAGTGAGAGGAAACAGGAGCCAAGAGAGAGGGCCAAGTGCTCCAGACTAGGAAAGATCTTTCTAATTGTGACCTTTTCCATTTCTTACATTATTCTGGGCATGGGCAAAGAATTCCCACCCTGCACAAAGCATCTGGAGGGTACTGCCATCCGGAGGGTAAGGAAAATTATAACATCAGGAAACCACTAGAGCACAGCCAGTTTGGGAGGTGGTTAAGAAGTGCCTTCAAGGCCCTGCGTGTTCTGTCCTCAACTCTACTCCACAAGTAGAACAGAGGGAAAGCAGAACCTGGAAAACATCATACTTCTAGGCAGGGCAACAGGAAGTTTTCTTGGAACCAACTCTCAAGTGGCATCATTCCAAATCAAACCCCTACATCCCCACCTCTGAAATCATCTGAAGAAACACAAATTACAGCCTAGTGCTTTCACCTTCCTCATGGAAATATTGCTAGCTTACAACTTGGTACTCCCAGGAAAAAGATAATTGTTCACTCGCAGGGTAGGAGCACTATGAAAGGCAACAAACTGGTCAGTCTATGGCCGTAGGAAACAGAATGAAGAAACCAAAGGGAACACAGATTCAGAAAAAAAGTAATGAATGTCCACTAACTGAATGAGTATATTTTTTAAAATTACTGAAACTAAAAAAAGGATGAGTTAAGTAGCAAAATTAATAGAAGGGAAGATCATATTAACAAGTGGTAAATATAAGTCAAGAAATTCTCCTACATAGCAAAAATCAAGGAATAAAGAACTAAAAAATACACTTTCCCAAAGCTAAGAGGCATGGATAAAATCTGAAAATGTCAGTATCTATTTAAAAAGATTCCCAGAAAGACAGAGGAAAAAGCAAATTGAATAAATTCTTTTAGAGATGATTCAGTGTTTTCTGGAATTAAAGACTGAAAGATTCAGATGAACAGGATAGATAATTCTAAAACTCCAAACATGATGGGGAATGAAGTAGGAAGAAAACCGTGAAACTTTAAAGAGAGAGCAAGAGATAAGTCCAGATATATAGGCATTAATGGACAAACAATAGAAAGAAAAAAAGGAGTTCCAAGCTAAACTTTTGTAAAAACAAACAAAATATACAAAATATTCACAAATGTAGATATAAGACAAAATGTTAGCATTGACACCAAGTAGAAACTGAAATAGAGTTGGGAGGCCATTAAATTAATGGGGTCTATGTGGGTAACTTTTCTAAAAAGGTCTTGGAAGAAACCGATTTTACATTCTGCCAAACCATAAACATCCTGGACAAACACCTGCTGCCTGCAACAAAGTGGACTTTCTACCTACTGAATAGCTTTAGCAACCTATTATGTATACCTAAATGTGTGGGTAACCTAGCTCAATTCTTTCAAAACAACTCAGTAAGCTTCCTCAGAGTTCCCCCTTCTTGCCTTTAAAATGAAACCCTAAGCTCCTTGCTGTCTCTGGAACATACATTTGGGTTTCCTCCTAAATCTGTTCCCAGATTGCAATCCCTAAGAAAAACTAATTTTTTTTAGCTTTGCCTTTTTTTTGGTCAACAAGCTTGATTAAGGAAAAAAGAAAGAGAAATATAAACACCAATGGAAGTGATAAAGAGAAATGACCTTACATATATAAGCAATCGAAAAATTATGAAAGAGTATCACTTAAATCTTATGACAATAGCTTTAAAATCTAAAGGAATATGTGATTTCCTAGCAAAATATAAATTCCAAAATTAACCCAAGAAAAAGTAGAAAAAAACATTTTAAAGACTCATTTAGAAGCAATGAAAAGGAAACAAAAGTTCTCCCACTGAAAATGGCATCTGGATCAAAGAAAGTCTAAGTTAAATTACATCCTATTACTTCTAACATTAAATTATCACAGGCCACAAGGAAAATAAAATCCAAAATGCCTCAAATCATTTAGTGAAGCTAATATAACCTTGATATCAAAACATGATAAACCTCAGACCAATGTGGTATCTGAATATACATGTAAACCTTATAAATAAATAAAACTAGCAAACATAATCAATGTGTCTAAAAGAATAATGTACTACTGAAAAAAAATCATCAAGTAAGGTTTATTCTAGGAATGCAAATGTGACTGTATTTACTCTTTCAATAAATATTTGGGAAATGCATAAAAGAGCTGACACTACAATATTCATAACAGCCATAAGGTGAAAACAACACAAATATTCATCAACTAATGAACGGATAAATATGGTGTGTGTATGCATTCATACAACATATTCAGCCATAAAAAGGAATGAAGTATTTATATGTGCCACACACAGATGAACACTGAAAACATTTTGCTAAGTGCAAGAAGCCAGTCACAGAAGACCACATATTATATGACTCCATTCATATAAAATGTCCAGAACTTAAATCTATGAAGATAGACAGTATATTAATAGTTGCTTAGACTGGAGAAGTAGGAGCTGTACAGATGGTGGGAAGAGTGATAGCTGAAGGGTACAGGGCTTCTTTCTGAGGTGATGAAAATGTTCTAAAATTGTGATAATGGACATACATTTCTGTGAATATACTGAAAACCACTGAATTATACACTTTAAATGAGTGAACTATATTTGAATAAAGCTGCTTTAAAAAATAAAAAAGGAAAAGGAAAGACACGCCAAAGATTGCTATCCTTAGAAAAACCTGCTTGCAAGGTTTTAGCCTATGGAAAATTAAGATTTTGGAAGGATTCCAACCCCATTAACTAGGAAGAGTTGGTCACTGTACTTGAGCTGTGCAAACAATGGGGTTTATCCTGAACACCAGCTTTCCTTCTGGAATCTGAAACTTTGATACATCCTAAGCAAAGAATGCCTACCTTACCACCCCCAATAAAAGCCTATGGCACTGAGTCTCTAATGAGCTTTCTGGTAGACATTTTACATATGTCATCACAATTCATTCTGGAGGAATTTGTGTGTCCCACGT